CATGGAAACGTAGTCATTGTGTACATCTTGGAATGGAATAGCATGCACAACTTCTGGCGCCAAAGACTGAAAAATACAAATATATTTTCATGCCTAAAACCATTCACAACCAATCAAATTATGGTTAGCTTTTATGTGGTCAAAGAACAACATGGAGGAGGTTTCATTCCAGCTAACAAAAATATGTTCTAAGAATGTTTTGCTAACATTCCCATGTTAATGGTAATGTTCTCTGAACAATCAAACTGTCCAGTTTATAAAAGCCAGATGACAAACGGTCTAGACTGGACTATATAGCAGTTTTTATTGGCCACGTCTAACTGATATGTAAAGCAACCAATCACAGTTTGTTTTGTTCAGCGTCATGTTTAGGCGCAAGGCGACCATTTGAGCTTATAAATTTCTTTTATTTATTTTTTTATGAGCGATCGTTTCGCTTGATAAGACCCTTATTCATCGTCTTGAATCGTTTAAAGCCCTTTGAAACTGTCTTTTGGACCTTGAACCGTTTGGTTCCCAATGAAGTCCATTATATGGAGAAAATCCTGGAATGTTTTCATCAAAAACCTTAATTTCTTTTCAACTGAAGAAAGAAAGACATGGACATTTAGGATGACATGGGGGTGAGTAAATGGTCAAAAGGTTTAATTATAATTCAGTGGTCATTTTAAATGTGTAGAAAGTGAGCCTTGTGTCTCTTTTTGTAGATTAATGCAAATATGCAATGTGTGTTTGTGGATGTGGGTTACTTGGTTGGGCTCAACTCTGCAGATGATGCTCCTGGAAGACAGACAAGAATAGTCTTGAGGCCAAATAGCAACACAACAGTGACACCCTCAGGAGAGAAACACTGAGAGAATATAGCCCACATCTCACTCAAAAAACACACATGGCTGCTGCTAATAACTCAAGAGGATGCTGAGCGACAGCTTTAATCAGGGGCAGAACACGGGCACTCAGAAATAACAGTTAAAAGAAATAAAATGCAGAAAGGCTCGCTTGGTCCGATATGTTCAAGCTATTTAGAAATGATTGGCATGTTCAATTAAAGCCACAATTACTGGACGCTGGTTGTGATACTGACCGAGAAAGCTAGTAAATTAGCATACGCTCAACGATTCGAGAAAATCAATCAGTGAGGGGTCGTGGAAATTAAAGTCACGGTTGGCTCTTCTCAACTATGCTAAAAATAAAATTTCTTTAAAGACAATGTGAAAATAAAATTGGTCTACTGTCTTAAGAAATCTCCATGATATAGAGATTGCTTTAAAGACTATTCATATAAAACATTAAAATGACATTTGAAAAATTTACAATTCACAATTCCCTTACAATTTACAATACAATTTACAATTCCCTAATATTATCTGGTTTTCCATGACTGGAAATATTCTAATGATATGAAACACAAGTCAATCACTGTTCGATAAGGCAGTAGCACTGGCTAAAGTTGCCTCATCCCAAAGAAAGTTTCTTTTTTCATTCGCCTCATTCCCTTATATTATGCGTGGATGAGCGTGTCCTTGATAAATCCTTAATTTAATTAATGGATAATCAAAACTTAAACAGCCTATTAATGAGCTATTAGGGGTATGATTGGGTTTTGCATTTCTGAGGATGTAGAACAAAATGGTGAATCTGGCTGGCATCCTGGAGCAGAGCAACAGTTTTCAGAAACATTTAACTGGTTTCTTGACTTTTATCACCTGGGAGACACTGTTGGTGCCCCACAAAACCCTTTTTTTTTCTCGTTCTCACGCACCTGTCTCATATTGCGGGGGAAGGAACGGGGTTGCCCTCTTTATCTCTCCTGCAATCTCTCATGTTTTTCTAACTGAAAGAGTTGAGGTTGTGACAGCGGGAACCCCACCTGGCAAACAGGAGCACTCACCTGGTACTGTAGGCCAGTCGAACCCTGCCTGGAAAAGGTCTCGCAGACACACAAACACACACATACGCACATCAGAAATCTTTTTAGACAAGGTCTGAGCGCAACTGAAACAAATCATGAACAGATCCAAAGCTGCAGGCATGGCTTGAGCCGAGATAGTGCTGCCGTCGCAGTCGTCTGTTTTCATTGCTTAGCAACAAGGCCAAGTCATAGAAACTGCTTTAAGCTGATTTCACAAATCAAGGAACAAAAAGTAAGACAAAGTGTGCAATAAACACTTATTTTCCAGTGTCAGACAGTGCATAAAAACATCTATTTGATTACATATTGTTCAAGACCGAAGCAGAGGCATGGGCGTTTATAGGCTTTAAAGGGAAATTATTAACTCGGCCTCTTTGTTTAATGCTGATATTTTTCTCTGGAACAAAAAAGAAGTTTTATTCCATAACAAAAAGGCCAATTCACTGACACTGCACCGACAGACGCCAACCAATGCAGACGGTCAGTAGCCTACGTCACTTTAGACATCCCATGAGACGACAAACGCCATGACAACATGTTTGAACTGAGAAAATTGGCGACAGGGGTAACACTGATCTGATCCGATAAAGTGTCTGTTGCCGTCTGTCCGTGCAGGTTGAATTAGCCTAAAGGGTTAGTTACCAGTCTATTAATCTCGATCTCACGTTAATGAGAGCACCACAACACATGCGTTCTGTGTTAACGCGAAAGTAGACGTTGATGCGCAAACAAAGCACTTGCGTCGCTTCATAAAATTGAGGTTAAACCACTGGAGTCTCATGGATTACTTTAATGATGTAGGTATATCTTTTTGAGGCTTGAGAATGGTAGTTTCGTAGCTGTCAATGGAGGGACAGAAAGCTGATTTCATCAAAAAAATCTTTATTTGTGTTCTGAAAATGTATTTAGTTTATTTAATAGGGACCATGCATATTCATGAACATTGTTGTATGATAAAACACTATGTAAATATGCCAGAATTAGTAAAAAGATACTACCTTTCATCAAATAAAATGAATGTCTAACATGTCTTCAGGGTGAGTAGGCTAATTAATGACAGAACTTTCATTTTTGGGTGAACTATCCCTTTAAGACAACCAATATGGCACCTGGGCTGCTAACTGGAGAACAGTAACATCAAATGTGTTTGATTCTCATTTGTTTTGTGACCAAAAACATCATTATGTCAAACCTGCAACATATTTGAACCAAGAATAAGTTTCATGGATGAATTTCTTTGAGGGCGTATAATCGCAAATAAATCACATAAGTATGACTTCAGAGGACTTTTAGGGTGTTTCACAGAATAAAAATAGCATCTTATAGGTTTGGAACTTATGAGGATGAGCAAATAATAATTAATTTCGACTAATAAGGTGAAGGTGTGTAAACCTATTAAAGTGTATGCTGAGAATAAAGCCTGAATGTAGTTGATTTTGTAACCATAAACACATCCATAACAATTTAAAAATGCTTCACTGACGGCTATATATTTTGACAATCATATTATCTTTTAAAATCAGTTAAGCTCTTGGCAGTGCTCTGAAAAGGTCTTGATGTCTACCAATTACTTACCATGACAGAAGCAGACATTAAAAATGCATGGCGGACACTTTAGGTCTAGTCTAGTCCACTAACTGCATAAACAGATGCCTTCTAAGTGATATCTTAACAGTCACAGAGCCTCATAAGTGAATGATGTCCAGCGCTCTACAAGTTTGCCTTTCATGCAAGTCAATTCACTCGGCGGCCATGTTTGAAATGCCGCTTGGGTAGCTATTTCAGTCATGCAAGTGCAGCTCCTCTCTTTGAATGGAGAAACATCAAATTCTCCAAGCTTATGATAAAATTTCATTTCCATATTAGCTATTTTGTTTAGAAGGCAGGACTTATTCCTCTACATTACATGTTACACTTTCTCCCATGCGTCCGAGAGCTAAAGGGATGGATGCAAGGTAGGAAGGCATCATGGCACGTTCGAATCCAATGTTAGTTTCACTTCCGGTCTCCTGAGATTCAACGACTGTTCTTTTGAAGGCAGCGTAGATGTATCCTTTGCTGCCTTTGATATCCCACAATCCTGTGCTTTCCATTCTATGAAAGGAAAGATGGTGACTGAAAGTTGCGGTTGGTGGTCAGTTTGTGTGTAAGTTGTGTAAATGTAAATTTTGGCCAACATTTTCCGCTTTTAACATCATTTCTAGTAAGAAATTACTATTACACTAATTAAATGTTTACTCACCAAAGCTGTTTTGCTGTTGATCATCAAACCTTTACACTGCCTCAGAAGTCTGTCCAAATCAGTTTTGTGAGGTAGCCTACAGTCGCACGAGCTCTGCCTGAAAAGTCACTCCCTGATAAAGCAGCGAGGGAACGAGTCGGCTGCCTAGTTTTCAGACGCAGCCCTGGTAATATGAGTGAGCTTTCTTTGATGTTAGCATGTTGCTAAGCTAACAGAGCAACACTCTAATAAGCACAATTACCAAAATGTTGGGATAAAACAGTCAAGTTTTACTATTTGTCAATGCTCATTATCATAAAAAAAAAATGATGTTTTGTAATATAGCCTAACATTTCTAACATATTTTAGCTGGTTATTTTTTCAATTAATTATTACTTATTATTATAGACCATTTTGCAAGATGTAAACAACACTGGTCCAGAAACACTTTCTGTTTCAGTTTGTAGCTGTTTTCTTTATTTCACATGTAAAGAAAACATCTTAAAGATGTTTGTTTAACTTTTTGATTTAGTTTTATATGTTCTGTTGGTTGTATTTTATCCCAGCTTTTATGTAGTGTTAAAAAACTGAAACAGGAAGTGCTTCTGGACCATGTGTTGTTTACATCTTGTGAAATGGTCTATAGCCTGAGTAATATGTAATATATTCTGCACACACACACACTTATATATATATATATATATATATACACACATATATACACATAGATACACACACAAACACCTACAGTATATAATTGTGAGTTTTCCTGTATATACTGTATATACATACAGTATCTCACAAAAGTGAGTACACCCCTCACATTTCAGCAAACATTTTAGTATATCTCCTCAAGGGACAATACTATAGAAATGAAACTGGATATATTTTAGTCATTGTGCTGCTTGTATAGCAGCATGCAGGCAACAAAAGTGAGTACACCTTGAACAAGTGTTGAAGGGTACTATTGTTTTGTTCCTTTAGATACATTGGGTAACAGAGTGCAAAGAAATTTGAACGTAGGGGAAATGAAGGTGAGGTTGTGAAAATGAGGAAACATGCTGGGAAACAGCAGGACAATTATTTTACAGTACGTACGGACATTGTCTGAAATGTCTAAATAAACGATCAAGTCAGGAAAAAAAGGGGAACAGATTCTTTTCACAGACGTGTGGGCTTTCATTCACGTTATTTGTACGGAGAAAATAAAGAAAGTCCCTGAGTGTTTTGTTCAAGTGAATAAAACGCAGTTAGAAAGAACGAGCAATTAATTACTTTTCCAAGTACATCAGAAAAAGTGTTACACCACAGGTCGCCTAATTTGAGCTGAGTCAGAAAAGGAAAGCGTCTGAGCCTAGCTAGTTTAAAATAATAACAATAATAATCATAATGACTATACAATAAATACACATCATATGGTCTGTTAATGGTCTGGTAAGTGCTTTTAAAGTCAAAATGCACTATTTACTTTTTAAAAACATACTCCTGGTTTTATGAAGGATTCATCAGAGCAATGTAGTCACTTTATGGAAGAAAAAATGGCCTGTTTCATAGTTTCAAGTTGGTACTGGACATATAATTGCAGCCGATATAATAGTTTACTGAGGATACCGCAACAGCTGATCCATCTTCCTTCTAGTTCTTTGGCGAAATGAAAACATTTCTGATCGCCTCAACAAGGACTTTACGCAAAATCAGAGCTGTTAGAAGAATTTCAGCCGTTCTGTTCCTGGATCACGTATTTGTGAGACAGCACAACGTTATCGTAATCAAAGTCCTCATCCAGATGGAAAGGAACAACCTCCTCACTTTCATCCTAGAATAAACATTTTACAGGTTAATTAAGAATTTTACAGAGTCTCAGTGAAATGCAACAGAAAATTGCATCTCAGTGTCTGAGTTACTGCCTGAGCTTGACAGCTCTCAGAGAGACGTGTGTACCTGATTTTCAGCGGCACTTGGAGCGTGTGTCCTCTGGTCTGTGAAAGTCGAGGAGATCTCCAGCAGTGTGTGGTGACAGAGCGATGAAGAGGAGACAGCTATCAGATCTTCTTCAATCTCACCTGGTAGTGCACATGTACCTGACAACACACAACAAGACACGCATGAATATTCAGTTTCTTTTACCCAAAGCCATCCATCAGCAGTCATTTACAATCAGGTTTTTCTTTTGTGGAGAAACTTCTGTCATTATTTACTCTCATGTTGTTCGAAAATCTTCATTCTTTATTCCCGGGGAACACAAAAGAGGATATTTTGAAGAATGGCTGTGCTGCTGGCGATTACCATGTAATGAAGTGGATAATGACTGATATATTGTCAAGCTCCAATAAAGAAAAACAATACGTCACTGTACTGTATTATATTATGAGTCTTTTAAGGCCATTTGGTACATTTTTGAGGAAATTTATTCTATATTATTTGCTAAATATCACCCTATCTTTTCACAAAAACATAAAATAAACCCTGAGACTTTTGGTGTAGACACAAGAAACTTTGATGTTAATGGTTTATTGTGTGCACATGACATTTTAAGGGGAACATTATTTCAATTTAGAGGTGTCTTGTGCATTTTTTTACACAAAATAAATTTACATACGCATAGGGGAAGATTTTTTTTATTTTGACAAGATTTTATTAAATCTAATAAAAAATTTTATTTATTTGACAAAAATAAATTAAATGTCGTAAAAATGTTTTTCGCACACATCAAAGTTTCTTTTTCTTTATAATATACTCAGAAAAACTTGAGGTATCTTGTGTGCACAAGAAAGTCTGATATTGAAATTTTAAAAAGGTCTCATTTTTAAAAAGGGTAGATTTTTCGGTAACACTTTACAATACGGGTGCACTAATAAGCATTAATTCCATGCTTAACTAATGCACAGATAATACTGAATTAATGTGTAACTAATGATTATTTTAGCTATTCATTAATGATTACCACATTAGGAACTAATTAAGAGTCTGTAAGCTTAATGTATTAGTTCATACATAAATTGTTATTAATTAAATATGTAATTGCGGACTAATTCCATGATAACTCATTTTTTTAACTAATAGTGTTAATTTAATATGTTAATTACCAGAATGAGCCAAAGTCTTGTATTTCAACTTTCAGATAATGTGACAGTTACACTAAAATGCATTAATACATGATTAATTACTTTATTGTTAGTGCAAATTCATGTGCAAATTACTAAATGACTAGTTAATAATGATGTGCCCCAACAAGTAAAGTCATAACATAATGATACCTTTGCAAACCATTAGCTAATGATTAATTAAAGCTGACAACTGGAAGTTGAAGTGCATAGCTTTGACTCATTGTGGTAATTTACACATTAATTTACACAATTAGTTATTAAAATATGTTATAAAGGAATTAATACACAATGACACATTGAATTAATATCAATTCATGTATTACTTAATCTATTAATCATATAGACTCTTTATTAGTTGCTGATGCAGTAATCATTAATTAATGGTTTAGTTCTTCATTAGTTATACATTAACTCATGATTATCTGTGCTTTAGTTAAGTATGAATTAATGCATATTAGTGCACCCGTGTTGTAAAGTGTTACTGATTTTTTTTTTTTTTAGACAAGGAGATTTTAAGAAAATAAATTAAATTTGGTAAACATGTTTTTGCACACATCAAAGTTTCTTGTGCAAATTTAAAAGTTAAAAAAAACCATTTAAAATATACGCAACAATATACGAAATGTTCATGTCAGAAGTAATTTGTTCTCACATGAAAGTCTGAAATATAAATTTTGAAAAAACTATTGGGGAAGAATTTTTATTTTGAGATGTACAAAATAATTTAAGTTTAAAAAAAAACATTTTATGTTCTACAGAAAAATAAAGTGTTAAGAGTCTGGGACAATATCAGGAGGAGTACATTTAGATTGAACTTCCACTTTATGTTAAAAAGGAAGGATTAATGTGTTTACAAGCTGTTTTTGTCCTGCATATCTGGATTTTTGCAGTAGCTTCTGTGTGAGTGAGAAAGACATAAGGCTTGGCAAGAGCTCGATTGATGCTGATGTTAATTAAACAGCTAATTACTGACACAGCGAAAGTCATAGTTTCAGCTGCTGAGTGAGGACCAGCCAGGCATCCGGGGTGTAGCTTGCATTTCTTCGTGTTTGTTTGAGCATATACAACACAACGTGTGTGTGTGTGTGTGTGTGTGTGTGTGTGTGTGTGTGTGTGTTTGTGAACTGCACACCTCTGAAACCCCAATCATCCATGGCTTTAAGAACAAGGTGGTCTAAAAAACAAGACCATTAACCAGCTCACTAAGGAAACAAAGAAAGAAGCTTCACGCAGCTAATGATTCTGAGGCTGTTGCTGTGATGCCATGCCGTGAACCTCCCTGACCGGCATGCAGAGGCGTGGTTCATTAAAACCATAGGTACCATGTAGCTCTTTTTGAGCTTTGATCCACTTTGACCAGAACCTCCTTCCCCTCAAACCATTTTAAGATTCATCTGGATGGCCAAGCGTGTCACTGACTGAACCCTGAAGTAAAGAGCTTTATTACTGTTTACCTGCACTGTACGTTTCAGAGTTCACGTCAAGGTTATTATAGTTTTTAATTTTGCAGTTAGGTTTAGATACTTTTAATTGAAAATAAATTTTTATTTTTATTTGTGTGCATTATATTGATTCACATTTCATCCCTTGTAACGCCACAAACTGTTCTTGTTACATATAAATTTGGCATTATTACATGCAAGTAACCCTAAACCAAACCCGAACACAAAGTAATTACATGTAGTTAATTAATTAGCCTGTAACAAGGCACCTTAAAATGACAATGACAATGTTTTTGACAGAATCCATTTGACTGAATGGTTCAATGATTCTCTCATAAAGATGTCACTTGTTTTGTTCCTGAATGAAACAGCATGTTTAAACAAATCAATGTGGTTGACTGAATGATTCAATGATTCACTTATAAAGACAGTCACTTGTTTTGATCCTGAAAGTAACAGCATTTTTGAAAACTCTATTTGGTTGACTGAACGATTTAATGACGTCACTTGTTTTGTTCCTGAATAAATAATAGATTCAGTCAGTGTATTCATGATTCAAATGGCATTAAAGGTCATCAATGAAACTGTGAAACTGAAATAATTTTCTCAGTAAAAGCCTGTTCACACCGGGACGAATTTCGCGCGCGTTATTCGCCGACGTTTAACGCCTTGTGACTAAACAATGTGATTGTGCACACTGACGTGAAAAACGCCACGCGTAAAAAACGCTTCTGGTTCGTTTTTTTGGTTTGACGCACCGCGCCAAAAACTATTCGACCAATGAGATTGGCGCTTTTGCTCACGTGTTTGGAGCTTCTGAAGTTACAGTAAAACACAACTTGGGGGCCGGTCTTGCCGAGCACACATATGCAACGGCGAAGAAGATCTACGCCAAGTAGCGTCGCCATCTAGAGGAGGAAGATGCAAGGCAAGATGAATGTAGAGCCGCTGTTCTCGTTGGTGCTAGAACATAAAGAACTATAATGACAAACGCGACAGGGACTACAAACATCTTGATAAAAGAGAACTGTTGTGGTTTTGTATTGCAGAGCAAATTGGCGCCATCTAATGTCAGGGAATGAATTTGCATGTTCACTCGGCTCATCGTCAGCGAAAATCGCTTGGGTGTCAACACAAAAAACGCGTTGAAAATCGATGACGAATAACGCACGGTGATATTCATCCCGGTGTGTAAGGGCCTTAATTCTATTTAGTTTTCATTCAACTGTAGTTTACTTTTATACATCATTCAATCACAATTTTTTCACCAATTCCCATTTGTATTTTTATTTTGGTTACCAATTTTTCTTTTACTCTTAGTTCTTTCCTTTTCCATCATTTTAGTTCAGTTAGCAAACTCGCAGCAATAAAATGGCTGGAAAGTAGGGTAACACATTACTTGAAGGGGTGTGCATAAGACTAACATGACACCTTCACAACCATGACATGACATATGTTATGTATATGAAGGTAGTTTTATGCATGTTTATGACAACTGTCATTAAGTGTCATTTGCTCAATTATGACATTGTTTGAGATGTCTTTATGACACCTTGACATAAACCAATACATCATAACCTGTCAGTGTCTTTGTCATGACAACTTGACATTACTAAGACAACACAACCTGTCATAAACATGACATAGCAGATTAATTATCAAACTAAAGAAACCACCTAGCTTTATGGGTTACCATTACATTAAACTGTCAGGTGGTTGGTTTTGACATTGGCTGTCATGAAGCCATTATAACATTTTAATGACAAATTCAATTAGTACCTCTGTGTGTAAATATTCATGACACAGTTATAATGGCCTCAATGTCAAAGCCAACCACATGGCAGTTTAACTTAATTTAATGTCAAGTTGTCATGACAAAGACATTGACAGGTTATGATGTATTGGTTTATCTCAAGACATCTTAAACAATGTCATATTTGCATTAAAAATGCCATTATTGAGCGAAAGACACTTAATGACAGTTGTCATAAACATGCATAAACCCTATTTCATATTCATGACATATGTCAAGGTGTCATGCCAGTCTTATGCACACCCCTTCAAGTAAAGTGTTACCGAAAGGATTAATCTTAATTTTCAGCGACAAAATTAATATTTAAAAAAAAATCTTATTTTACAGTCAAATTTTACAAAGCTCTGGCCGTTTATGCAGAACTCCAAACGCCCACTACAACCAACGGTACAGCGACCTGCCAACTTCCAGCAAATGCTATTTTTTTTTTCAAAGCCAAGCAAGCAAGGGCATGATTATTCATGCTAATTAAGGTGAAGTTCAGCATGCATCTTTTTGTTATTCAGTGAATAAGACTCTCATTATAAACACGCCACCTAATGACTTTTACATACAGCCTGTCTGCGTTAACACTCTGATCACAGACAAGCTCAACAAAAACCACGGACGCCCTGCTCTGAAATGTAAGCCTCTCCAATCAAAAGAGGCTTTCTTTCATCCAACTATTTTATTTATTTTTGTATTAAACTGGTCATTGGAGTTTAAATGAGCCTCTCTGGCACTCAAGAAAAGAGCGACTCATTACAAGCCTGCACAGCGAGTGCTAAGCCTCGTCAGGCGAGCGCTTGCCCCCGGCTCTAATGATGAGGGAGCGGTTTTGAATTTGCATGCATTGAATATGTGTAATAAATGGTAATATATTTAAATCAAGATGTATGACAGCTCTAATTACAAAACATAGCATGCACATGATATCCACTAAACCCTATTAAAGGTAAGGTGAGGCCGTGCAGTCCTTACATATGCATATGAAAAGAATATTTATGCGAGGATGCCGCACTTAAATACATCCATACAGGTGATGGCAACATGTCGATGTATATTATGTGAATATTATGTGAATTTGTGATGGATCCAATTCCACTTGAAGCTGTTGTGAAATATGCAAAATATGACAAGAATTCACACCGATGTGCTTTACATAAGAAATAAAGTGTAAAAACGTAAATAAAGACTCCAAAATTAATGTGCATCTAGGCCACTGTGATCTAGCTAATCTAAACTGACTGTGTAAAGTGTTGTTTTTTTCGAGTAATAAACACCTGTAGCGTCAAAATTCTGCTCTTCATCCTCCGAATCTCCCAGATAATTATCAAACTGCCAAGGAAAGAAAAAAAAGACAAAAAAGTAATTAAATATACATTTTTACAAACATATATTCTCTTTACACAGAAAAGTTAATTCAAAAAGTACTTAAATATACACTACCGGTCAAAAGTTTTAGATTTTAAATGAAGTCACTTCTGCTCACCAAGGCTGCAATTATTTGATGAAAAACAAATGACAAACAGTAATATTGTGAAATATTATGACAATTTAAAATGACTGTTTTCTATTTTAATATATTTAAAAATTTAATTTGAAAGCTGAATTTTCAACATCATTACTGTTGCTGATTACACATCAGTTTTCAGTGTCACATGATACTTCAGAAATCATTCTAATATGCTGATTTTATGCACAAAAAAAACATAAATTATTATTTTCAATGTTGAAAACAGTCGTGTACCATTTCCCCCCCAAAAAAATTATATGATGAATAGAAAGTTCAAAAGAACAGCATTTATTTAAAATGTAATCTTTTCTAACATTATAAATGTCTTTACTGTAACTTTTGATCAATTTAACTCATCCTTGATGAATAAAAGTATTTTCTAATTTCTTTCCCCCCAAAATAAATAATAAATTCTTACTGACCCCAAACTTTTGAATGGCAGTGATTAATGTTACAAAAGCTTTCCATTTCAGATCAATTCTGTTCTTTTGAACTTTCTATTCATCAAAGAATCTGACATTTTCAACATGGATAATAATCATAAATGTTTCTTGAGCATCATATTATAATAAATTCTGTAGGATCATGTGACACTGAAGACTGGAGTAATGATGCTGTAAATTCAGCTTTGATCACAGGAATAAATTACACTTCACTATATAATATTCACATAGAAAACTGCTGTTTTAAATTGTAATAATATTTCACAATATTACAGGTTTTTTTTGGATTTTTTATCAAATAATTGCAGCCTTGGTGAGCTCAAGAGACTTCTTTTAAAAACATAAAAAAATCTTACAGATCTAAAACTTTTGACCGGAAGTGTAGTTTGACATTTACATATTGCTAAGCTAACATCACATTAATCTAATACGCATAAACATATAGGCCTAGCACACACATTAGGTAAAATAGTCTAGCAATTGCTTCGGTTAGTGTTAGCAGGTTAGCCAATGTCAAAGCCAACCACATGACAGTTTAACTTCATTTTATGACAAGTTGTCATGACAAAGACACTGACAGATTATGATGTTATGGTTTATATCAAGATGGCATAACAAAAACATCTTAAACAATGTCATATTTGCATTCAAACTGTCATTATTGAGCGAAAGACACTAAATGACAGTTGTTGTCATAAACATGCATAAACCTTACTTCATATTCAAGACATATGTCATGTCATGGTTATGAAGGTGTCAGTCTTATGCACACCCCTTCAAGTAAAGTGTTACCAAAAAGGTGTTATCTTATCATAATATAATGAGCTTATATACATACAAGTAAAATAGTTCATTATATTGTAAACACATCATACATCATATATAATTCTGGGATTGCTTTCTTTGTGGAAGATATATGCAATGCTGCCTTAGAATATATCCAAAAATAATTGTTCTTCAAAGGCAGAATTATGTTGCTATCAACATTAAAATACAGTCTTGGGAAGTAGCTTTTTAGGTTTTGGTTTTGAATGTCCTGGCCGTTTACCTTCACAGGTCTGTCTGGAGCAGAGCTCGATGGGCCGCCCAGTCTTCCTCCAACACAACCGCCATCCAACAGCACCTATACAAGCACACAAACTCATAAACTCACTATCTCATTTCCTTTAATGATGCTCTGAAATGACAGCCGCTATGAGAATCGTTGTGATTACAATCAAAACGACATTATAATCAATACGGCTCATTTTCTCTCCTTGTGGCGGAGAGCTAAACAATGCAGAGGCTTCTTTTTTTTAGCATTGACTGGCCTGGGATGTTGGCTGATGTGCTTTGCGTTATTGACAGTAACTGGTGCTGTGGCTTGCCAGAGCCCCACTGAGATCAATACGCAAGCCAGGCGGGAGTCTTAAGCACCGTTCACACACACACACACACACACACAGACAGACCGATAAGCAAAACACACATTGCAATGAAGCCATTCAATACACTGAGAGGAGAATTCCAAAAGCCTTGAGGAAAAAATACACCAAAAAGGAAGAAAAATGGCCAATGCTACATTGCTATAATAATTTCTGAGTGAAATTAAACATGTTGATATGTGGCTGCTAGGTAGTTGCATTCGGAAGAAAAATGAGCATGCTTAACCAGTACAAAAATCACCACCATAACATATGGTGGCCAGAGCATTGCTATTGCTCAGAGGTTCTGATTGGATTTAAACATTTCTATGAGGTTGCTATGTTGTTGCTAGGCTGTAAAAATGTGAGTGGCGCTTCAGCATAGAAAAATCGCTAACACTTTACAATACGGGTGCACTAATAAGCATTAATCCATGCTTAACTAATGCACAGATAATACTGAATTAATGAGTAACTAATGATTATCTAAGCTATTCATTAATGATTACCACATTAGGAGCTAATTAAGAGTCTGTAGGGTTAATGTATTAATTCATACATGAATTGTTATTAATTAAATATGTAATTGTGGATTAATTCCATAATAACTATTTTTTTTTAACTAATAGTGTTAATTAATATGTTAATTACCAGAATGAGTCAAAGCCTTGTATTTGAACTTCCAGATAATATGACAGGTACACTAATATGCATTAATACATGATTAATTACTTCATTGTTAGTGCAAATTCATGTGCAAATTACTAAATGACTAGTTAATAATAATGTGCCCCAACAAGTAAAGTCATAACATAATGATAACTTTGCAAATCATTAGCTAATGATTAATTAAAGCAGACAACTGAAAGTTGAAGTGCATAGCTTTGACTCATTGTGGTAATTAACACCTTAATTTACACTATTAGTTAATAAAATATGTTATTGAGGAATTAATACACAATGACACATTGAATTAATATCAATTCATGTATTACTTAATCTATTAATCATATACTCTTTATTACTCCCTTTATATACTCCCATTATTAATCCCTCAGAGTTAAACAGTTGAGTTTTACCATAGTATGAAAGTCAATGAGACCAGATACTGTCTGTTTACTGATGTTCTTCTAAATATCAGAAAATCGGCTGAATGGATTCGAAAACGGTAAAATTCAACTGTTTAACTCTGGGAGAGTTGTAAAATTAACATATTTCCAAAAAAGTGGAGTATCCCTTTAAAGCAGGAGACTTCATTAATTTTTTTTTAATTTGAAAAGAAGGAGAGGTCTGCCTGAACCTCTCCCAGTAAAGACTGACGTTTCGAGCGGTTTGAATCTATAAGGCGGTGACCTCTTCCTGATCAGCAGTCGGTGAGCAGCGATTCGCCTGTCCCATCCTTCGGTATACGCTCTCCTCCATCTCTGTCACTCTATCCTCTCTTTGTCGCTCTCGGCTGTTGTCCATCTCTCTGTCTCCGTGTCCTCTAGGAGCAGTCAAATGCGTATCCCTCACGTTCTCTGCAATGGGAAACGACAGTGAAGACCACAGGCGGACGTATCCGAGGAAAGAAGATGTATGTGTCGTTCAGTATGCTCACCTGGGGTCAGGTGTGTGAAGGTGGACAGGAACTGCTCATACGTTTGCTCCGGGGAGTTGCAGAACTGCTCCAGAGCTTCAGTCATGGCTTGGTCATGGTTGTCCACAACTGAGCCATTAACTAACCCTGGCATCCTGTCAAACCTATCCACATTGAGAAGAGATACGGAGAAAGAGATATTAAAAGAGATGTCTGTTTACACCATGCAAACTTGAAGAAACCCAGAGAGCCAAGCCAAATGAAAAGGAAATATTGGTATAAAAACCTAAGAAAAAGAATGATGAAGGGATTCTGCTAGGCTTCACTTTTTTACAGGTCACTTATCATGGGCGATATGCATTATAGCTGCATTAGCCCTGATTGGAATAAAATTATAATTTTGAAGTTCAGCTTAATTACAATCAATGACGGCTGGGGAGGGTGGCGGGCAGTGATTGCCGTGACATTAAAATATAATGAAGAATGGCGTGATAATCGTCAGAAACTACGAGCTGTCGCTGTGTCATTCATCACAAACACGCCCCAGGGAGAGCCTTCTTCAGGTGGCACAACATTAGCAGGGACAGAAACAGGTGCTACACTAGAGCCTAATTACTCTCCTCTATCAATAATACAGTGCAAGTCCTGGCCTCAGGCGTCAGCTGCACTGCTGGTCCACCTCTTCCTTCTCTCTTGGAATACATCCACACTATTTCTGTAATTTACAGTATATAGGGACAGCTTGTGCCAACGCAACTCCTCTTTTGCCGTTAAAAAAACTACAGTCAGGATTTAAGACACGCAGTGAAAAATTAGCGCTGAAAAGGCAGACATTTGCATAGGAGATTCAATTTAGGTGAATCTCTTTCTCTTTCAATTCACTGGTGTTTACGCCATTGTTAACCTACTAAAAAAAAAGACGTCTTAAACCAGATGCTAACTGGTGGATTTCGTTGGTTATTATGGAACTGATCTGAGAGCATCTGTGTTCTTTGATTTGTACGTCGTCAGTAGATCACGCGCAGAACTTGTCGGAGTAGTTCACTTTTAAAAAAACTTTTGCTGATAATTTACTCACCCCCATGTCATCCAAGATGTCCATGTCTTTCTTTCTTCAGTCGAAAAGAAATGAAGGTTTTTGATGAACACGTTCCAGGATTTTCTCCATATAATGGACTTCAATGGGAACCAAACGGTTCAAGGTTCAAATGAGAGTTTCAATGCAAACTGTTCAAAGGGCTTTAAATGATTTCAGACGATGAATAAAGGTCTTATCAAGCGAAACGATCGCTCATTTAAAAAAAAAAAAAAGTTTTATAAGCACAAATGCTCAACTTGCTCTGTTCTGTAATGCGCGTTCGTGACTCTCCTGTTCGAACTCGTTCATCAAAATGAACGAATCTTTTTCAGAGTCAATTCGTTCATTTCGTTCGTTGAATCAACCAAATGACACGAAAAAAGATTTGTTCATTTTGAAAAAAAAACCGCGTTCGAACAGGAGTCACGAACACGCATCACAGAACAGAGCAAGGCGTTTTTTTGTTGTTGTTTTTTTTTTGTTTTTAAATGAGTGATCGTTTCGCTTGATAAGACCCTTATCCATCATCTGGAATCATTTAAAGCCCTTTGAACAGTTTGCAGTTTGCACTGAAACCATCTTTAGAACCTTGAACCGTTTGGTTCCCATTGAAGTCCATTATATGGAGAAAAATCCTGGAATGTTTTCATCAAAAACCTTAATTTCCTTTCGACTGAAGAAAGAATGACATGGACATCGTGGATGACATGGAGGTGAGTAAATTATCAGCAAAAGTTTTTTTTTAAAGTGAACTACTCCTTTAAGTCAGAAAGGTAGCATTCGCAACAAACTGACATAAAACAGGTTTAAGTTGAAGTAGCTACTAAAACTGAAATAAATATAAATGAATGCTAGATTGAGCCATTTCCTGGAAATGAGTTTTTGCAGGGTTGGATGTCTAATATCAAATGATTGCATTCAGACCAAATTCAATGATTGGACGAACATTTTGTGGTCCTACGTCTTCCGCAGATGATATAAACATATAAATACATTTAGACCACTTAACTTAGTGAGTGCTATAACAAAAAACTAAAATTCTGGAACAAATCACCTACCCTGCTTTTAAGGATTTGAACAAATTGATTCTTTAAAATGAATCGGACACATGCTATATGCTATATTATAATCAATGAGGTAGTCTGAAAGTGATATCTTCGTTCATTATAATGCAATTGTAGTTTTGTTGTGTTTCAGTCTCCCTTCCGACTCTTAGTGACAGAGCTGGCAAACAACAGCATTTATTTTCCTGCGCCGTATGCAAATCCGCTACAGGTTTTTCTACAGCATCTGTAAGTGTGAACACCGGCATGTAAGTGCACTTGAGCAGGAGAATAAAGCTCTCCTATGCGCTTGGAGACACCGGAGGAATTCTTTACGTGTGTGTTGCGCCTCAGGGGAGTCGCTCAGCCTTCTCTTCATGGCCCTGCTCTTCAGACACAGGTGCTCCGCTGTTTGTGTTTTTCTCTGTTCTTCCAGGCACTCGTGGTTACGGGTCTTTGTTTTTGCACTCTGGCACACACACACACACATTTCTCGGCCTCCAAAACAAACACGCAACTGCACGAGGGCTCGCGCAAACGAGCACAGCCCCCTGAAACACAAAAACATTATGCTAATGAGACCAGCACAGCTGTTCCCTTCTTCTCGCTCTCTCTCTCTTTCTTTCTTTCTTTCAACACCAGTCGCCTAATTTCTTTCATTCCTTTAAAGAGCCGCCAAGCAGAAACAGTTAATGCAAATATAAGCCTGCGGGAAATAAGGAGTATTTTTACAAATCCGAGCTACCCCTCCTGCCCAAATGTGATGTGTGACTCACGCAATTCTGTATTTGGTGTAATGAGAGTGAATCATTCTGCTCCTCACTGAACCTGATTGCACACAGACCACTCAGATACATAGAGGAGACTATTTTAACAGCACATTACATAGAAGCGGGCAACACTGTCACAGATGCAATTATGAAGAGTGTGATTTTGGTGTCGAATGCATGCGGGTCATAAAAGAACCCGAAATCTGTGTGATGACGGCACAGGAAAATCTGTGTAACGTGACGCAGTCTCCGCTTAGAAAAGATATATGGACACTTTTCAATTCGAGTGCACTTAATTCATGCTTAACTAATGCACAGATAATCTCATGTTCATGTATGACTCATGAGGAACTAAAGCACTAATTAATGATTTCTGCATCAGCAACTAATAAAGAGTCTATTGATAGATTAACCCTCTAAGACCGACGAGAGCACCGACACTCCGGTTTGTGTGTGACTAACCAAATGGCTAGCTCAATCATTGATGTAACATGTCCAGATCAAGCCTCCAACATGCTTATGTTGCGTTGTTTTCACCCTCTAATGAGTCTGCGTAATATGCGTTTACAAAATAACCCCACAAAAATGCATTGCACACATGTTCTGTAGACCTGCAATTGGTCTTCCGATGGCTCATAGAGTTCCGAAGTTACGAGTCACGACGTCACTCTGTGGGCAAAAACGTAGAAGTGAGTTAGCATTTTAGCACTACCGGTTCCCTCGGTCTAAAGTCTATGGGATTTTTGAATGGGTTTTTGCTAAACCGCCTGAAATAAGGTCTGTGGTGAACAAAGCATCTAAATATTTTCACGTTTTGATCTACGAAATAGAATACACAGTTATAACCTGCTTGTGGTTTTTTAAACTTTATCCACAAGTTTCTTACGCCCCATGAGGCCTTGCGTCAAAAGTGGGCGCGTCTTCAGGTTTGAAGTAAACAAAGCGCGACTTGACATACTTCACACTCGTTCATTCAACAGTTGACAGTCATTCAAGTTATAGCGATCCAAACTAGCTAACGATGTGGGAACACAACCTCAACGAAATTAAAAAGGGTGAAATAACTTTACCCTCCGCAGTAGTTGATTGGGAGTATTATAATAACATTATTAATAATTAATACTCATCAAGGCATGGTGACAGACAGTTGTGCGAGCTGACAAACAATTAAAATAAAAAATACACACTTAGTCATTGTGCTTTGGAGTTTATTCAAAATTATAAATGAATGTGCTGCTTGAATACATTAACTGGCACATTTGGTATTCTGTCAACACAGGCTTTGATCCTGAGTTTAGGTGTAACATTAGTAGCGAACAGCCAATCACATGCTGATAGAGTTTATAGAATATTAAGAATTTAAACTAATGTACGCAGGAAGATTCGTCGTGTTTTGGGAGGTGATGGAAACTACAGTCGTTGGCAGGATCACTCTGATTTCGCTTTCAGCTTATGTTCAAAACAATCACGTTCAAGCCACTGAATTAGTTTAGTCCGGTTATACATGCAACCGCGAGCAGCACATGTTGTCCCTGAGCTCCGTGACGACATCTCTCATAAAGATTTGCGTCTTTAAATAGTAAAATAATTCTCCGAAAAACAGCTAGCCTCTTCGCTAACTAACACACAAAATACCATTGGAATGCTACTTCCGCCTTACCGGAAGTTTCACCAACTTTATTTTTTACAGGAGCGCCCCTCGGAAACTTGTGGATTGTGTCTGCTTGTGTTTTTTTAAACTTTATATAGGCTTCAAAATTTATACATTTTGGATTAACTTGTAAAGATTATCTTGATAGACAAAACGTGTAAGGCTCACAACTCTTTGTTGAACACAGATCTTATTTTTTTGCGATTTTCCAAAAGTCTATGGGGAAAATGTATAGCTTTTCGATCGAGGGAACCCATACGCCGCTAGCTTCCGAGTTGTCCTACAAAGTTACGTCATCGCTTCGGCACTATATTGACGGATCGCGTTCTGTGCACTACCAGCGTGTGTCGCATGTTGTGACGTCAAAAGCTGCGTCATTTGACCATGCGTTTGACTCCCATGTGCTATATGTTCCTTCTTATCATTATTGTCTTTTTGCTTCATTCTATCATTTCTTTCTCGTTTACACACTCGCAAATGGGTGATTCTTTAACTATGGTACTTTTCTTGTCCCTGGATGAATGTGTTTGAAGGATGGGTAAGTTAGGCAGCACACAAATATCAGCACACCAGAATCTGAAGTACTGCAGCTACACCGTGATTAAACTGAACGTGAACATTATCGCGTCACGCCACAACAGCTGCTGTCTACACTGGACGTCACCATTGCAAGTCCATTTGTCCTTCGGAAATCGTAACAGAAGCAGAGCAACAGCTTGTAGTACATCAGAAATAGAATGTGGCATCAGTTTTCTGTGGGGGTTTTGTTGTGTTATGTGGCGTCGCACCATATCCAGTGTAGTATCACTTATTATAATGGGTTGTCTTTGTCCGATCTAGACAGTGTTATGAAATAGCAATGCCTGGCCGCATGTTCTCAGTGTTCTGCCTTTAAATCCTTGACCTCAAGATTAACCTGACATTTTCCTGCACCATGAACAACAAGGTACTGGATGTGGCAGTTTATCTGGCACACAGTGGAATCCCGGGTGTAGAAGGCTAGAGATTGAAATCCATGGCTTAGTGTGGAATGATGTCAAAACCAAAATGACAAATTACTTAATTTTTTTGTTCCCTCAACAAGTACAGTCATAACATTATGATACTTTTGCAAATCATTTGCTAATGATTAATTAATGCAGATGACTGGAAGTTGAAATACATGGCTTCGTCGACCCATTCCGGTTATTAACACATTAATTGTATGCTATTATACGTTAACATATGACATATTTAATTAATAACAATTCATATATTACATTGGGTTTGTCCATATTTGCACCAAACTTAGGTTAAAACAACCCAGCAGTTAGAGTGTAGTTAATGCGAATTGTACAATTTACCGGTATTTGATTTTTGAGTTATTTGATTTACATGTGAGTTATAACTTAACAATGTTTTGATTTATTGTTAAACATGGTGAGTTATAAGGGAGCAAAATGTATACAAATTCTTAATATTATTATTAGTAGGCCTATAACAAGTCTAAATTAGTAGACTATATAACTATAGTTAATCACGCTCAAGTGCCGCCATTGTAAGTGTACATTTTATAAGATGAAATCTGGGAGATCCATACTTACGCAACTCAGCTGATTGGCAAACTGCCAAGTGAATTATCATCAACTGAACTGTAAAACACAAACATAAAATCCATATTAATACACAAGCCAATAATACACTGAGTTTGGGCTTGTTTTCATTCAAACTTGTGCGAGTTGCATTCAAACACCTGTTGTTAGCAGCAGTTACAGGCAGTTAACCTCAAGATGAGCCAGTCAACCTTCACAAACACAGAACCTCTGCCACTGTCACTAAACCATTTGCTTTAATATTTCAAATAAAAGTTAGCAGCACCAAACAGCTCCCAGATTTCGGAGTGCATTGACCAGGAGGTAAGAAATATACATATTATTAGGATGACTATTGTTAAGACTAGAGATATGGAATATTTAGAATGTGGTATTCCGTGCCATAGAGTGACGTTAACGTTAGAATTATCTAACGTTCAATAATAAGCACGTAGGTTAATGGCGGGTTTTTTATAATATAATTATTAAAGTGTATGTCGTGATGTAAAAGATTGTTATCTTCAACTTGTTGTAGTGTAACGTTAGCTATCACTAATGTTTACAGCCAGCGCTTGCTTAACGTAATTCTCTAATTTGATTAGCCAACCTAAAGCCATTAAAACGAATCTAAAAAGTGTACTAAGGAAAAACGCTGCTAACTGTTAGAAGACAGAACGAGAAAAGGAGAGAGGAAAGCTTATAAAAAATATCTCAGACGTACCGTTTAAATGTAGAACTAGAGCCGCCAGTTTCGCATTGGATCCTGGGTAATGTAGTCCTTTAATCACAAGCTTAACGCGATTATCTAAGAAAAACGGGGATAAGAAAAACTACAACTTGTTTCCTGTGGGAATGTTTCTGTTATTATGGAAACAGGGAAAGGGTTATATGGTTCCGCATTTTTTTCATAGGTACTTTGAATTAAAAAAGTTAATTTCATACTACTCTTACTAAAAGGAGGAGTTTTATGCTGGTATGCTATTCAGAATTCATCTTTACGATCTGTGCAATTGACCTGAATTTTATTATGTAATATTTTAGTTAGCAATAAAAATAATGTTGTTTTTCATTATATTTTACAGAGCTCACTACAAAATGATGTCATTAGAGCCAATAACTGCTGTGAACTATGCTGGCCTCGTGCAACCAGGCTTCTCCTTGCTAGAGCTAGAAGGTGATGTTTACCTCTTTGGTCAAAAGGGCTGGCCGAAACGCTCATGTCCAACTGGTGTGTTTGGTGTCCGTATAAAAAACGGAGAACTTAAGCTGCGAGCCATTTCGTTTTCAAACAACTCCTGTTATCTCCCTCCCCTCCGATGTCCGGCGGTAGCTCATTTTGAGCCTCGTGATGGCAGCCCTGAAAGTTACCTCATTCATGGTGGCCGAACTCCTAACAATGAACTGTCTTCAAGTCTCTACATGTTGAGTGTAGACAGTAGAGGATCTAATCGTAAAGTCACATTGCAATGTCAAGAAAAAGAGCTGGTTGGAGACGTCCCTAGCGCTCGATACGGCCACACGCTCAGCGTGATCCATAGCCGAGGGAAGACCGCCTGCGTTCTGTTTGGCGGCAGGTCCTATATGCCCCCCACCGAAAGGACCACAGAGAACTGGAACAGTGTGGTGGACTGTCCACCTCAAGTCTTTCTTATTGACCTAGAGTTTGGTTGCAGTTCAGCCCACACCCTCCCTGAGCTCACAGATGGCCAGTCATTTCACGTAGCTCTAGCGAGAGAGGACTGTGTCTACTTTCTGGGCGGTCACATCCTCAGCTCTGATTGCCGCCCACCTCGCTTGATCCGCCTACGTGTGGAGCTTCTCCTAGGAAGCCCTGTCATCACCTGTAATGTTCTTCAAGAAGGTCTCTCCATCACCAGTGCCATAACCTCTCCCGTTGGCTATCATGAGTACATTATTTTAGGCGGGTACCAGTCTGAGACTCAAAAGCGCATGGAGTGCACCTACATTGGCCTGGATGATGTCGGAGTCCACATGGAGCCACGCGAACCTCCCCAGTGGACCAGTGAAATAAGCCACAGCCGTACTTGGTTTGGTGGCAACCTGGGTAAAGGACGTGCCTTGTTTGCAGTCCCATCAGAAGGAAGCCCAACCCCACCAGAAGCTTACCATTTCTACCAGGTAAACTTCCAGGAGGAACAAAATGGAGAAGCATCGACTCAGGGATGCAGCCAGGAGTCCACTGACTTTGAGGACTCTGCACCTTTGGAAGACTCTGAGGAGCTCTACTTTGGCCGAGAGCCTCACGAGCTGGAGGACAGCAGCGATGGAGAGGGCGCCACCTACAATGAGGAAGATGAGGAGGATGAATCTCAGACAGGCTATTGGATCAAGTGCTGCCTCTCCTGTCAGGTGGACCCCAACACCTGGGAGCCCTACTACTCTACTGAGCTCACCCGACCTGCCATGATCTACTGCTCCAGGGGTGAAGGTGGACATTGGGTCCATGCCCAGTGCATGGAGCTCCCTGAAAACCTTTTGCTTCGCCTCTCTCAAGGCAATAGCAAGTATTTCTGCCTGGATCACGCAGGCCTGCCCAAGCAGGAGATGACTCCACCACGCCAGATGTTGCCATTGAAGAGAGTCCCAATGAAGATGACCCATCGCAAGGCTCCAGTCTCACTGAAAATGACCCCAGCAAAGAAGAGTTTTCTGCGAAGACTTTTTGACTGAATTGTTATTGTTCTGTTATATATCAAGTTTACTTTGTTGATAATTTTAAGAATATTAATTGATTTTTGTAATAACAAAAATTGGAGTGTATTTTTCATACTGATAAAAACTACAGAAATGAATGGTTAAATCAATGAAAATGCTTATGGCAGTATTAAATGCTTTTTTAACAAATCTTGTTTATTATTTCTAAGCTGATTGTTGCTTTTTAAATGTGGGGGAAAATTGTAAAGTATGATTTTCTGCTTTAATAAAGATAATTATAGAGGACCTCATGTTATGCTTATAATTATAATATATGCACATATTATGCAAACACATTAGATAAGTCAATAACATGTGTGTGTGTGTGTGTGTGTGTGTGTGTGTGTGTATGTATGTATGTATATATATATATATATATATATACTGTATATATATATATAAATATATACACACATTTAAGAACATAGAAATATATATAGATGTATATATATACATACATGTTCTTGACTTATTTAATGTGTTTGTGTATATATTTATATTCACATTCAAGAACATACACACACGTATATATATATATATACACACACATATTTAAGAACATATATATATATATATATATATATATATATACACATGTTCTTGACTTATTTAATGTGTTTGTGTATATATTTATATTCACATTCAAGAACACACACACACACACACATATATATATATATATATATGGTAACACTTTACACTTTACAATAAGGTTCATTAGTTAACATTAGTACATAATGTATTAACTAACATGAACTGACCATGAGCAATACATTTGTTACAGTATTTGTTAATCTTCAGTGATATTAGTTAATAAAAATAAAGCTGTTCATTGTTTGTTCATGTTAGTTCACAGCGCATCAACTAATGTTAATAAGATTTTAATAAAGTATTAGTAAATATTGAAATTAACGTTTACAAAGATGAATAAATGCTGTATAAGTGCTGTTCATTATTAGTTCATGCTAACTAAAGTAGTTAACTAATGTTAACTAATTAACCATATTGTAAAGTGTTACCATATATATATATATATAAAATGCATGTTTTTAAATCTGCTTGTCTGCTACCCTGCTTGTCTCCAACCACATAAATAAGGAAACACCAAAAATTGTTAATGATTTTATTTTATTTAGATGGAATTGAAGAAAGAAAGTCAGTTATTACAAACCAATTAACCAATTATATTCAATATTTAAGAAAAAGTCCATAAGTTCATGAATTACAACAATCACTGTAATGTTCTTGCACAATGAAAAAAAAAAAAATAACGTTTTTACAAGAACATCAGTGCCCTTGTGCAAGTCTACACAACTTTTATACAATTACGAACAGTGCAATGCAGTGTTTTATTGCAAATTTAAAAAAATAACAAAGCAATTTAAACATAATGTAAAGTTTTACACATACTATTTAAATCCTATGTTTAATAGAATTATGTGAGGTACCTTGTTTTTAAACCTACCCAAAGTACAAAGAAAAATTCAAGCATTTAGATATGTATAATATCAAAGAATGCAATAAAGAAATCAATCAAGTAAAGACACAAATAAATCAGTAAAATCACTTAACAAAGAAATCAATCAGTTCAAGTCAAAGTAAAAAGTGGATCACTGAAATCTTCCCGTTTTAAGAGAATACAATAAACACAATGATTATTAAACAAAATAAGAGAAACATGATTAATAAATTGAGGTACAAGAGATGAACAGAGCACATACCTCTGAACTGCAACACAAAGTAAGTCTGACAACAGTCAATAGGTTTTATTGAGTAAAATACACTGCCATTTCTTCAAGAAAATTTGAAAATGTGTGTGTGAATGGCAGTAGGATGGAAGACTGAGGTAGAAATATAGGGTAGGATCTAAATAAATGTGCAAATGCTGTAGCATAGAGTCTATGGGAGTCATTTGTGGACCAGTTCAAAATAAATGCATTGCTAAAATAGTCCTTCTCTCTAGCCCTCCTGCAAAGGAGACAATTCACATTTCTAATTTCATAATGCCTTTGTCCTGTGTGATATATTAGTACAGCCTTCATAAATGTGGGGTTCCTTTAACACAATTTCAGTGACTTACAACTCCCTCATAAGTTTTCATAAACAACCCTTCTGAATGAATTCGTGAAGTTGTCACAACCTGGCAATACAATGAAATCCCTCATATTTCACAAGCAGCGAGAGATAAAACACAGACAATTTGCCTGTAAAATCTAGTGAGAAAAAAAAAAAAGCTCTGCCCATATAATTTTATCTCTGCCATAAAACAATTTAGCTCACGTTTATGCACTGGCTTCAAAAAAAATAATGAATTGAATAATAAAGCCATTAAACGTGATATTACATCTCATCTCAAGAAATAAAATCAATTACTGAACAATATTTTCATTAGCAAGAAAAACGCTCCATTAAAGAAAGTCAATCAGAGGAAAAACTCAAAAATCTGGAACTTCAAGAGCCACATCAACCACATCATCTGGAGTCTCTTCTGGGTTAAATGTGGCTTGCATTGCTTTCGCTGAATTCTTATGAGCCTCCATAAACTTCTGAAGATACTTAGAGGTGTACAGCCAGTGGTGTTTCAGAACATCTTCAAGTTCAAACGTCTTGGACTGCCTCGCGTTCATCTTCCTAAAACGTCTGAACAGCTTGTTCCCAGACTCGTTGCCTTCACTGGCCCATGCCCCGATAGACCCGTCTCTCTCTATAATCTCAGGAACATGGGCCAGAGTCTTGTGGAGGTAGTTGGTAATCTTTCCATCATAGCGGTACTTAAATGTGGTGGAAAGGAGGTCAGCAAATTGCTGAGAGTTGTAGCTATATCGACAGAGTTGGTCAGGGCAGTCTCGGGAGGGACATGTGGATCGCCACACAGGCTTCATCTGGACGTAGAGGTCCATCAGTCTCTTGAGTGCCTCACGTCGTTCCTCCGAAGGAACCAACTCACAGACCACCTCCACGGCCTCACGTGTCATCAGCCGGCGCGCATAGTTCCCGTTCATCCTCATCACAGGCTTGAGCTTCAGTTTGTTCCTTAGCTGTTTGTCCAGAGTTGACCGCCAACGACGGCGTTCCTCACGACTCGGATTGCTCCTCTGGTAGACTTCGCCGATCTCATCCTGAAAGATCTTGTAGAATTCAGTCGCATTGCCAATGTCGCAGTGGAGGGCATCCAAAGTAGGCAGGGTCTCCATGAAAGGCTTCGCGGAAACCCCTTTGACCCGGTCACGGAGTTCATCGGCGGACTCCGAGAAAGGATTTTTCCTCCAGATCTCGTAGCGCTCGAGATTTTCATCGTGGCTACGTGTGACGGAATGAAGCACCATGTTTTGAGAGGCTTCAGCTCGGGTTGAGTCGCAGAGTGTGCATACGTAAGTGGAGCCTGATGCTTCTAGTCCTTCCATTTCACGAACCATCTTCTCATCGTAGCCGGTACCCCGGAAGAAGAATCTAAACGAGCGTAGCAGGCCACCGACAGATATGATGAGTCGACTTTCCATCATGGCTTTCCGCTCTGCTACCACGGGTCCCAAGATCGCCGTCAGGGTCTCGTGGTCGGACTCATCCACAAACATGAGGCACAAAGGTCTACAAGAGAGCTCAGAGTTTGGCTTTGGTTCTTGGAAGATGGTGATGCCATCATCCTCACCTTCAACTCGGATGGAGACGGACATGATTGTGAAGGAAAACCTCACTGCCTTCTCTGGAACCGCTGGACCATTTCCATGCTTCTCGCTGACATCTCCCATACCATCACATGATTCTTTCACCACCACAGTAAAGCCGGACGTGCAAATGCTGTCATCTAGCCCCCTCTCTCGTAGTCCTTCCATTATATCCTCCTCCAGGTCTTTTAATGCAGAAACCAGCGCCACGTCGTAGCGGAATCGTCTGGAAATGGTATCCGCAGGGACATCCTCAACAAAGGTTGTCCAACCAGAGAGGCCATCGATGATGCCCACATCCCAGGAGCTGGAAACGTTTTTTAAAGCCGGCTGCCACTCAAATTGGTGGTACCCGGGGAGAAGCTCTTTCTCAGCGTTACGCAGTGTGTGCAGGGGCTGGAATATCTGGCGGCCACTAGTGGCCTTCACAGTGCGATACATCTTGTGGTACTGACTGCAGCTGAGGAAGGTGTTGACTCTTATAGCCAAACACACTGCAGGATGCAGACCAAATCCCCTGCCTGGAAGAGAAAACAGAGGGAAAACAACACTGTGAACTGTTTATCCAGAATAAACTTAAAATAAGTGAGATTGTTAGCCTAAATGTGGGCTGATTTCAGAGCACCAGCAATTGAATGCAACAATCTCTGTAATTCTGATTATAGCTCCAGCGTGGAATGTGTCCTAATTGTTCTAGATCAGAGAGATTATTAATGCTTAAGTTAGAAGAGAGGTGACTCAGCTGGGCTGGAAATACTGATATTGGCTGCTGATGAAAACAGGCACCAGCTGGGCCCTGTTCCCCTGGGGGGTTAGACGGTGTCTATGTCATTTGCAGATAGAAGGGCTACTGATGTTGTTTTCATCCTAACAGGCTCTTTACAAGAATTGTTATTTGAGTATTGAGTCTCACACACAATATCAGTCTAAAGTTTTGGATTTGTGAGATTTTGAATGTTTTTAAAAGAAGTCTCTTTTGCTCACGAAGGCTCCATTTATTTTTATTAAAAATACAAAAAATAGCATTATTGATATGAAATAGTATTACAATTTAAAAGAGCTGTTTTCTATGTAAATATATATAGTAAAGTGTCATTTATTCTTGTGATCAACAGCATCATTACTTCAGTGTCACATGATTCTTCAGAAATCATTCTAATATGATGATTTGATGCTCAAGAAACATCTCTCATTCTCATTCATAAATGTTGAATTTTCAGGATTCTTTGATAAATAGAAAGTTCAAAAGAACAATATTTATCTGAAATTGAAAGCGTTTTGTAACATAAAACACTACCGTTCAAAAGTTTGGCGTCAGTAATCATTTTTATTTTATTTTTGGGGGGAAATAAATCTAATTAATCAATACTTTTATTCATCTAGAATAGATTACATTTATCAAAAGTTGCAGTAAAGACATGTATAATGTTACAAAAGATTATATTTCAAATAAATGCTGAAGAACAAAAATGTTTTCAACATTGATAATATACTATATATATATATATATATATATATATATATATATATATATTGTGCATCAAAGATTAGAATGATTTCTGAAGGATCATGTGACACTGAAGACTGGAGTAATAATGCTGAAATTCAGCTTTTGATCAAGGAATAAATTACATTTTAAAATATATTAAAATAGAAAAAAGTTATTTTAAATTGTAATAATATTTAACAATATTACTGTTTTTTTATCAAATAAATGCAGCCTTGGTGAGCAGAAGAGACTTATATTAAAAACATTAAAAACTTTTGACTGGTATATCAGTGTGTGCGCGCACATTCAGTAAATTAGTGCTTATTATATTTAAATTGATAGTGAGGCACATTGGAAAATAATTCATTATTTTTTGTGAAGATAACCTCATGGATGTGTTAAATCTAGTTGCAGGTAGTAGCCTAAACATGATTGTGTAAAATTACATGTTAAAACTGTTGTTCCCCGACAAAATTAAATACAATTAACTGCAGTCAGGCATTTCAAATTAGGCTAGATCATTAAAAAACAAATGATGCCATATATTAGGTTGTAAAAACGTTGTTTGGTTGCTCTCAAGCTTATGTGAGTACATCAAAAATGCATTATCTGTTCATTCTAGTTGTATTTATCTGACAACAACTGCTTTGACAGTCACATATTGTGGGTGATGTGTTTCTTGGCATTACCTTGCATCATAGCTTCCAGTTCATCTGCTTGTTTGTGTTCATTCCCAGCTCTCAATGCCAGAAGGAAGAGCGTCAAACAGACAGACTTCACATCCCCTCCTTCTTCCTTTTCAGCAAACACCTTCACCTGGTTCTTCAAGTCTCTCAGCCTGTGTTTTTGAGCCCGACGGGTCAGCGACAACAGGTGCTGTCTAGGGCGCCCACCTTTGTTGACTGGCAAGTAACCATTGAGATTCTGCTCTGAAGGTGTTTGTTCTTCCTGGGACTCTTTTTCATGGTAGTGGTTGAGGCAGTGTTCCCTAAAGGAGTCCAATCGGACCCAGTCGCTGCATCCTTCGCTAGGGCAAAGCAGAGGAAGAGAGCTAAGGGTGGCGAGGAAGAACTTGGCTGGCCTGGTCAGGTGGGATGGGTTCAGGTGTTGGCTACAGGTGGGACAGTTCGGGCCCAAAGCTCGACTGTACCTTGCTATGCAACCCCGACAGAACAGGTGCCGACACGGTGACTGGACAGGGTCGGAAAGCAGATGATCACACACTTGGCAAGTAACAGCACGTAGCAAATCCGCTGGGACTTCCGGAGGGATGAGCTTAGTGCTCAGATGGTCCTTCTGGCATTGTGTGATATTCTTTACCCATTGTCCTCTCTGCACTGATAGTTTTAACCATTCTTTCCCACCTGATCCCACAGGATTCTCTGTGGTCTGTCTCCACGATCTATTGGCACCTGAAGTTTCTGGGGAATCCCTCTTGATTCTCTTTGAGAGGCTGTGTGCACCTTTAAGTGGTTTGGCCCGCTTCCTTCCCATTCGTTGAAAAGAGCTCTTCTTAGGGAAGCAGAGGTTGCAGTTGGAAGTGTGGGGCTTCCAGTCTGGGATCCGGGTCCTAGTGAAAGAACAGAAACCCCCTCCCCTCATGGCAGCAGTCCAGCATCTGTGACAAAACAATGACGGATGTACCGTCTCCATGTCGGTTGTCACGTCCACCTTGAAGACCTTCAAGATCACCTCGGGCCAGGTGACCAACTTGCAGCCCATTTTACGCAAGGCACACCGGCTGGACTCTTCCAAGTCTCCCTGGACTTTATGCGATGGACCTTTAGTCTTCCGTATTGTGAGACCACAAAGACGACACAGGCTTCTGCAAAATACACAAGAAAACAACTAAGCTTGACTCTTATTAAAGGAGAACTCCGGCGCAAAATGAACCTTTGGTCTAATAAAACATCGGTACTATAGTCAATCGTTCTCTGAGACTTATTTTCGTGATAATCGAATATCTCTAAAAACTGTTTAGCGTATAACGCTAGTAATGGGGGCATTTACGAAGTAAAAAGAAATCGCTAGTTTATACCACTAACAAGGTTCAAAATAGTCCCACACTAACACAGTAACATAATGAGGGTCCACACATGCAAAACGAAGCATTGAGAAGTGTACAGACCATTTAATAAGAAGATACTTTATAAAGACAGTCCACTTCGCGAATACAGGCAGGGGCCATCTTGGAAAACAGTCACGACAAGTCAAACAACGAACGTTGTGCTGAGTGAGCTGAACTGTATGAATTTCACATGGAAGTTCAGCGAACTTCTGAACTGGATGAATGGCGTTCGGGGATCGACTTACCAAGACTTACACTTACAAAGTTCTCAATGATTCGTTTTGCATGTAGGGACCCTCATTATGTTACTGTGTTAGTGTGGGGCTATTTTGAACCTTGTTAGTGGTATAAACTAGCAATTTATTTTTACTTCGTAAATGCCCCCAGTACTAGCGTTATACGCTAAACAGTTTTTAGAGATAAAACTCTTTGCATTCGATTATCATGAAAACAAATCTCGGAGAATGATTGACTAGGTACCAATGTTTTATTAGACCCAAGGTTCATTTTGCGTCGGAATATGCACAAGTCAACTTAACATTAAGAATTCATAGATCCCTCAATATTGTCATTAGACTCACTTGAGAAGATTCATATGTGTATCAATCTCCTGCAGCTTAAGGTCGACTCTCCCTCGAGTGCTCTCCATGTTTTCCTTACTCTTCCCTCCAAAACAGAGCTTCATAACACTCCCGGGAGAGCCTGCCATCTCCATCTCCATCTCCATCTCCACCTCAGGCTGGTTTTCCTTTTCCACCGGTGTTTCATTAGACAGAGGGGCCTTCTCCATGGACTTGACCCGAAAGAGTTTAAACTTCCATTCCGAAAACTTAGGATGAGACAGTTCGTCAGGCATGGAGGCTCTGGGAGCATCTTCAGAACTCCACCTCCCTTTCTCCATGGTGTCAGCTTAGATTCAGCTGCTTTCAAGAGAGAGAAATGAAAGTGAGAAGGAATGAGATTAATTCTTTATGAATCGAGAGTTTATGAGACTATGAGATTAGTTTGGCTGCCAAGGAATATTCTTAGGTGTAATAGAAAAAGAGGGGTTCAGGATTACAAATCCACAAAAGCAGAGGAAAGCAACATTATTTCCAAGTCTGTGACACAATCAGACAGATTTACTTAAGTCTAATGGCATTGTTTGTTAAAAGCAGCCCTGAAATCCCAGCCCAAGCGTGAGAGCTTTGCTCTGACCCAGAGTACAGCATTATACCATAAGTGGCATTTAGTGCCTCTGTAAAATGCATGAGACAAGCGTTCAGAAATCGATCTACTGCTGAAAACTTCACTTCTCTCCTTCCTAACACTCTCGCTAAGGGACCCACCATGTCCCTTTTTCTATCCCTCATCTTTTGTTTCATTCCCTCCCTTTGTTAAATGGACACCTCAAGGGCTGTCAATCATTTATAATAGTCATTTACTGTGCCGAAACAGGAGTTTAAGTCCGTAGAGGAGCTTGCTGACATTTAACGGAGAGCTCGAGAGAAAGTCCAGTCTTATGATGCACAGCCATTGACTGAAGCTGGATGAGGAATAATTGAATTGCCAGACAATCCCTATGAATCAGACTCTATCCAGTGTTTCAACCATGTCACTCACTGAGTATGCATAAACAAGCAAAAAAAACAAAAAAAAACAGGACTAGCTCAGAAGTCACATCATTCGGACTAGCAGCGGCTGTCAAACCCTTGCAGATTCACAAAACAACTGTGTCACGATGTGACACTCCTCTCTCATCCCATCCGCAAGAAGCCAAAACGGTCCTCTTTCCTGATCAATAAATCAACAAGGGCTTACCATAACACTCCCATGGTGAGTACATGCTGGCATTTTCTCTTTTTTATCTCTCTCTTTTTCTTTTTCTTTTTCTCCCTCTCAGCTTGTGTTTGCACCCTGGGTTTCTTCAGCTATCAGCTCTGAAGTGAACTATTGAGACATGCATACACAAAAACAGCTGAGAGCATTCAGTTTGTCAGTCAGCTGGGTTGTCCTACCTTGTTTTTGAGGCTCAGCTGGTGAATTCTCCCCTGGGGTCTTTCTGCATGGGGGCACAAGGGAGGCCTAGTGCGTTTCTGTGTGCGGATGTCTTCCAGGCTCTCTCTCTCTCTAAGAGTGCCTGGCTGGATCTCACTCACTTGATGCTCCTATAAAAGACTGTCTCTCCATAGTAAGAGAGTCCTATTTATACCTCACTGTGGGGTCCTCAACTGACACATTTTAGCACCTGAGAAACATTGGAGGTCTCGGGAAGGGGGTGGGGGTGATGCTAACCACATTCACACATAAACACACACAGTAAGCTACCCAATGAGGACATGCCATAGATTTCTTGTTTGTTTTTACATTATGCTACATGTAATTGGCATAGTACATATTAATACTAACCCTAAAAAAACGATTTTTCCAAATCAAGACATGCCTAAAGTACAAATTATCATCATCATCATCATCAGACCTAACAACCATACTCAAACACTCACTACACAACATAGATCATGTATTTTTTAAGACACACAAACATACACATTCTGCATCGTAAACATGTTAGTACAAGGCACATGGATACAAACTAACACATCCCCCTGCTGTTTTCCCCTAGTGCTCTCTGAAACTCATCTCCAGCAGGTGGTCCAAGCCAACAAGCTGCAGCTTTGCTATTTGATCCCCCTCTGTATAGAAAAACAGACACCATTAAAACACATCAGATCAAAGGAATACATTTAAAAGAGAGCTGACAACCAACTACTCAAGGCTGACTGACTAAAATGTCATTTATGGTATATTGAAAAGTTGGAAACGCATAGCAAAGATAGGGTATAGTCCAATTGCATTTCACAGTTTCAGAATCCTGCTGAGACATGGTTATTTTTGTTGACTTTATAAACAAATTATCCATAGTAGGGGGAACTATATCACTTTAAACGGATACTCCACTTTTTTTGGAAATACGTTCATTTTACAACTCCAACTGTTGAGTTTTACCTTTTTTGAATCCATTCAGCCGATCTCCGGTTCTGGCGGTACCACTTTTAGCATAGCTTAGCATACATCATTGAAGTGGACAAAACCATTAGCATTTCTCCCCCCAAAAAATACCAAAGTGTTTTGATATTTTTCCTATTTAAAACTTGACTCTTCTATAGTTACATCGTGCACTAAGACAGACGGAAAATGTAAAGTTGCGATTTTCTAGGCTGATATGCTGGGAACTATACTCTCATTCCTGCATGATAATCAAGACACTTCACTGTCGTACCATGAGTGCAGCAGGCGCGATGACTACACAAACTTAGTCCCGTTCACGTTGGAAGCTGGGCACTATTTTCAGGCGCTGCATAACATCGCGCCTGCTGCACTCATGGTGCGACAGTGAAGTTTCCTGATTATTACGCAGGAATCAGAGTTCCTAGTCATATCAGCCTAGAAAATCGCAACTTTACATTTTCCGTTTGTCTTAGTGCACGATGTAAGAGTCAAGTTTTAAATAGGAAAAAAATTGAAACACTTTGGTAATTTTTTGGGGAGAAATGCTAATGGTCTTGTCCACTTCAATGATGTATGCTAAGCTATGCTAAAAGTGTTACCGCCAGAACCGGAGATCGGCTGAATGGATTCAAAAAAGGTAAAACTCAACAGTTGGAGTTGTATTCAAAAAAAAGTGGAGTATCCCTTTAAGGAACATTAACTCTACACGTGGGCCTTGTTCCAGTCCCATTATGAACTGTGTTGGTGTCATTAGCTGAAATTGATTTATTTGTTGATAAATAAAGCAAGGGTGTTGCAGAAGAGTTATGATGTACTTGGTCCTGTGCATTTTAGGAGCTATTCTGTGTCAGGACTTCAGACAGACTAGTCATTAAATAGTCACCGAGTGCCTCAAGCATTGGGTGGCCTGTCTCATCTGAGAGTCACAACTTCTGCAAACCAAACAAAGAGAAAACATCATAAATTATAGGTCATTCTACAACATGGTTGCAACAAACATATTATGACTCATATAATACTACACACATTAATATGAGAAATAAATAAATATTTAAATACACTTAAATGGACGAACAGACAAAGAGAAGGAACAAAAAAGACAGAGGAAATAAATAAAACCTCATTATTGTGAGTAATAAAGGGACGGAAAGTCATTTTTATGCAAAAGAGTTTGCTTTCGGCCAAATTATAATAGCCAAGTCTATAAACTGAGGAAAATTAGAAAGGTCATTGAAAATACCAGTTTTTACAAGTGCTCCTTCATCCTTCACAGAGATTCCTTAAGGGCTTGAAAAACATTTGAAAACACTGAAAAAAAAATTGATTGATCACGATAAAGGTCATGTGTGTGCATGTTTATTGATATAATCTGTCATCATTTGCTCACCCTCATGTTGTTCCAAACCTGTATGACATTCTTTCTTTTGAAGAATCGCCTACAAAAGAGGTATTTTGCTGAATGTCTTTCATGTACAATGAAATTGGAAGGTGATTCACACTATTAAACAAAAAAAAGTGAGAAAAACAAAAGCACATGCAATTTTTGTGTTTTAATGAAGAGAAAGTAAAACTGGTTTGGAACAACGTGAGGGTGAGTAAATAACAGAATTTTAATTTCAGGTGAATTTTTGCACTTTAAAGGGATAGTTCACTTTGAAATTCATTTTTGATATGTTTTAGCTTATACCTCAAGGGCATCCAGGATGTAGGTGGCTTTGTTTCCACAGTAGTTTCAATTTTGATATTTTTAGGTCAAACTGTTCTTGTCTGTCAGTCATATAATGTAGGTCTATGGTCACCACCTCAAAGAGCATGCACAGAGAAGTCTAAATTAAACATGATTTAATGACTCGTAAATGTAAGCACACATTGATGGCCTAGGACACGAAACGAGTGGTTTGTGTGAGAAAACTAACAGTATTTATATAGTTTTTACCTCTTGTAACCACAGCCACGTCCAAGTGATCTGAAGGCTTGGGTGCTTCGGTCTGCTCTGAAAGCGCCGGAAGTGATCTCTTGCGCGGTTGCGAAAAAAAAAATCAATGTTGTCTGTTGATATATCGAAATCGTCTTCCATTGCAATATCCTGTATATCTAAATGTTTAGATCTTCACAGTGAAGGATAACACTTCTGAAATCTCTGTGTAAACAATGAGTGACGTACACGCGCGAGAGATCACTTTCCAGCGCTTGCGCAGATAGAAGCGCCCTCGCTTTCAGAGTACTTGGATGTGACTGTGATTACAAGAGGTAAAAACGATATAAATACTCTTTGTTTTCTCACACAAACCGCTCGTTTCATGTCTTAGGCCATCAATGTGTGCTTACATTTACGAGTCATTAAATCACGTTTAATTTGGACTTCCCTGTGCATGCTCTTTGAGGTGGTGACCATAGACCTGCATTATATGACTGACAGACAAGAACGGTTTGATCTAAAAATATCAAAATAGAAAATACTGCGGAAACAAAGACGCCTACATCCTGGATGCCCTTGAGGTAAGCTAAAACATACCAAAAATTAATTTCAAAGTGAACTATCCCTTTAAAGCAGTCTTCACAAACCTAAAGAACGAGACAAACTGAGACGGAAAGAATGAGAAAAACAGAGAGAAACTGTAGGTCTGTTGCCATGGCGAAGCAAACAGAGCTGCAGATGTCCATCTAACAAACAAGCGGTGACCCCTAGAGATCCACGGCTCTCTCCGCCTGCTAATTGACTTGTTATTGATAAGCCCAATGGCAGTTTGATTTATGTGAAAAATGTCTTCAGTTGACAGCCACCTGGCATTAAGCAGGGTGTTTATTCTCCACTGCATGTGTGAGTTTTAGGGGATAAGTTGTTGAGGTGCTGTTATCACCATGTGAGGGGACACCTGGAATGTGGGGTCAAAGATGTGGGTGTCAACGCAGAGGGCAAAATCGAACTCCACACCAATCAAAACACTTTATTTGAGTAGGAAGGTGGATCATTGACACACCTATCTTTTAAAGGGCACTAATCTTTTTTTAAACAGCTTATCATTCTCTGACATTTATTTGATGTTTTTATGACGTCAGGTGGCCATTTTTCCATCAAGCGGCATCTTTATCGGGTAACTCACTGCCTTCACAGAGTAAACACCAATTCCACGATGGCATGCAGTTAGGAAGTATAGCTCCACTACTAACAAAGCATATTGCTATTATAAAATAGCATACCTTTTCGGTAAGCTACTTGTTTGTAAGGTTTTCAAACATTGCGGTACTACCAGTTTCAGACAGTACAAAAAATAAATAAATAAAAAACGGGAATATTCGGTATACCCGTTGATAGGCACTGCTAGACGTGTTTGTTTGAGCGCACTCTGACTCTGAGGGACAAAGGTTTCCATTAACAGCGTGTTTTTACAAGCGTTAAACATTGTAGCCAATCACAGTCATACCTGTTGAGCACATTGCAACGGCCAATCTAGTAAGTAAGTTAGTCAGAATACTGTGAAATTTACTGGTAAATTTTACTGGTGTTAGTACCGACTACTGAAATGTTGGAACAATGATAACCATGATAATTTTGGGGGAAATGTTTAGCATGTCGAGCTAGTATAGCCTAGCCCTTAGCCCCTGCTGGTATATATATATATATATATATTTGTATGTATGTATGTATATTGGCCATCCAAGCATATTCAGAAAGTCACAATTTCATAATAAAAACTCTTATGTAGAGCTTATGTAGAGCTTAGCTCTATGCAGTCTTGTGGTCATATTACATTACCTGTGCTAACCGAGCCAATACTACGACAACGGCCAATAATAGTAAGTAAGTTAGTCAGAATACGCTGAAATATTTACTGGTAACTTTTACTGGTGTTAGTATCGACTACTTAAATGTGTGATCAATGATAACCATGATAATTTTAGGGGAAATGTTTAGCATGTTTAGCTTGTTAGCCTAGCCCTTAGCACCTGCTGGTACATTCTGTTGGCAAATATATATATATACTGTATATATATATATTG